GTTGCCTCTGCTGCCTTGTTATCGCATAAGGATGTTGTTACAACTTTTACATTTGTTGTTGTTGCTGGTGGCATCTACATGTTGTCTGGCCGCACAGGACACACAAGCGTTGCCAAACAACGTTGTTTAAATATGTAGCCAAAGAAAACGCAGCCAGTTTCGCCCCAGCAGGACACAAAGTAATAAAGCTCGAGTGACTTTTGTGTTGCTGTCGCTCTTGTTGTTGTTGTTGTTTTTGTTGTTGTTCTTGTTGCTGCTGTTGTCGAAACTTTAATTATCACTGTATTTGCACTGTGTGTGTGAGTGTGGTTTTTCATGCACTCGCCCACACAGCCGGCGGTTGAGTGGGCCAGACCCAAGCTGTTTGAATTTTACAAACAACTTTTAGTCTGCATAGTTTTTTATTGCACACCCACCACACACACATACCCACTAGCTGCTGGCTAGCATTTTTTGTGGTTTTCAACTATGTTCTTTGCTCTTTTATTCTTCTTTTATTTTTTGTTTTTTTGGCATACTGTGAAAAAATTGCGAATACGCCGCAGTAGCCGCATTTGTGTGGTCAATAACTATTGCACAGTTCGGTGGCGCTCGTTTGTAGAAATCACGCATACGCCAAATCTGACATGCATATGCATACGCAATTAACACAAAACCATTTGGAAATTCAACGACCATCGTCATCTGCCAACATTTTCATATTCACTCGCACATTAGGCAGCCAAATCAGATACAAACACACATGCCGTACAACCAAAATTGCTCAGGCCCCAAAGTCATGAATTTTTATTGCTGCTGTCGTGTTTGCTTTTGCGTGCATTACTCAAAAAAGTGGGCGTGGCTAGCTGTGACTGTGTGCCTGACACGCAACTGCAACATGCCCGGCTCGAGTTGAGCCAAAGTGCAACAAAATTTGTCGTCGACATGCGAAATCAATGAAAGAATTACCTCAGAGCCGCTGGCCAGTTGTGGCTTTTTGTTGTGTGTTGCACATGTTTCGCTGATTGCGCCATGTTGTAGAGGGAACGGGAGAGGGGCACAGGTGGAACATGTCGGGGGTAAGTGCTAAATGATGCCACGTGCGGCGCATTGACAAGCAATTTTGCATTTGTCCGTTATGCGGGGTTGCAGGAGCTGCCAATGCGACACCATCAATTTGCAATATATCAATACGAGATGGGTGTGCCCTCTCTCTGTGTGTGTGTGTGTGTGTGTGTGTATTTGGGTGCTGTGTGTCATTTAATCTTTGCAGCTGGCTGCCAGTTGCTGTGACAACTTGATTGCGAATCCAACAACAACTCACGCTTGACAGCTGGCAGTTAATAGTTGGCAGGTGGAGTTGCCTGTGGCAGGGAGAGAGGCGGCAAGTTCCTCGGATACTAGAGAGATTGTGGCAGTTCCTTTTACGTATCACTTGGCACGTAGAAATGTTGCAGCTGCACGGCACGTTTCGGTTTCAATTAAAGCATCGTTACTAGCCCGCAAATTCGGCAAAGTTGGCAGCCATAAGCTCAGCTCCAGCTGAACGGAGCGCAGCGGTACTTCGAATGCACAAGAAGCACATGTTGCAAATACAATACATTTATGTGTGTGTGTGTGTGTGTTAGAGAATATCTAGCCGCGTTAAAGTGTGCCTGTGTGTGTGTGTGTGTGTGCACAAGTGCAAGTGTTACAAGGCCAAAAGTTTTGCAGCATTGGCACAAAACGCGCAGCACGTGGCCTTTTCTTTTATATATTTGTAGGTTTTACTCGCTTACATATCTCTCTGAGTGTGTGAGTGCGTGTGTGTTTGTATTTGTGCGTGGGCGTGTCGCATTTAAGCCTCAAATGCGCCTTGGGGTAACCATCTTATGGGCAAGTACGTGGCTGGCTTTAATGGAAAACGAACGGAAAATCGCTTTTAATGGAAAAAATATCTTGCCTTTTTAGACTTTTTTGTTTTTTGCTTTGTTTGAATACCCTAGAGCCTAGTTAAACGCAGATATTTAACATTGCTTGGAAGGCGTGCATTATTATATTTAAAGCGAGTACATAAGGTTGTACGCATCCTTTTTTTTTATTTTTAATTTTTAATTAACATTATGTTAGGTGTAGTCTTTCGATAATGTTAAGCCTTGGGCTTAACAGTATGACTTTTCACGCTTAATGCTATGTTAGATGGCAATAAGCAGTGTTGAAAAGTATACCAAAACTATGTACATTAACATGACATTATTTTGTCCATTGCTTTGTCGAGGAATTTTGTGTGCTTCGCATACTCATTTTACTGGGTATCTCACTGTCCCACTTTCAGCTAATTCTTTCGGTCTATTTCAGCTTGTTTTCTGCTGGCGACAGCTGCATTAATTTGCCTGTCATGACTTCAGCTTGGCTTATGCCACACGCTGAAGCCTTTTGCCTTTGAGCTGCTGCTGCTGTTCTGTTTCTGTTATGCCTAATTGCATTTCTTTAAGCAGGATTGCAGCCCTGTTAATGGTTGAAACATTTGCAATCACTGTTGATTCCCCCATGCTGAAAATACCGAGTTGCATTGTTAGCTACCTTTAGAGAGGGACATGCGGGCGGTCGGTTGGTCATGATTGAAATGGTTATGGCCAATAGCTTCCAGCTGGTTTTTCGAGTGGGTGGTGTTAACACAAATATTTTCAAAGAAAACATTTTGCGCTTTCATCCTGCCATTCGACCGCCCTCATTCCCTCTCTCTCTCACTCTGTCTCTCTCTTGTGGGTAAAAATGTTCAACGGCTCGTGCGTTAAATTCATTCGCATGGAATTTTAATTGGATGATTTTGTAGTGCAGGCCACGTGCCAATTTTATGAATTCAAAGCGAAAAGTATGTGTCTGCATGTGTGGCACAAGCTATGCTTGGCCTTAAGTGCAATTTGGAAGCCCTGGACAAATATTCCAGTGTTGCCTCAAGATGCCGTAGAGCCATAGATAAGCTACTAAGTGTAAGCGTGGGCGATAAGTCCACAGGCACAACCAAGCACAACAGCAACAATAACAACTGGCACATTGACAGCCATTATGGCCAGAGCTTCAGCTCCAGTTGCTGCTGCTTCGTGCCGCCTTTGCCCCTCTCTCTCTCTCTCTACCGCAGTGCGTACATGTGCGGCGCAGCTCATATATAATGATGTGGTCTCCAGTCGCTTGGCCATTGTGCGCTCTCGAGCGTGAAATGTATGACAAAAAGGAGCAAAAGCTCTGGCTGCTGCAGTTAGACGGGCCGCGGGCGGGCAGGTTGCGAGCTAAAAATATACATGACAGCGAAAACCCGAGAAAATCAACACTAAAAGCAAAGCAGCAGCTGCCAACGCAGTACCATTTGTACAATACCCCCTCGCGATATGCCCCCAGGAAAATGTTGCCATTGCTGACGAGGGCTTAAAGTGTTAGGCAGCGAGGAGAGCAATTGCTGAAGAAAGGGTGGTGAGAGGGGGGACAGCAATCCAATAACAAATTATATGCACAAGACAATTGGGTCCTTTATTGCCCAACGACTTTTATGCGAAAAGTGCAAAATGATTTACGATTATGTTGATAAAATGGCTTAAATAGTATTTTCATTTCTTAACGCTCGAGTGCACTTTGGAGAGCAAACCGAACCGAGCAGCGACATGCCTGGGCACAGATTCACACACACACACACACGCGCGCACACACACACACACTGGCGCATTTTCAATTGTCTGCTGGCGCATGATTTGTTTGCGCTTAAGCGTTGGCGACGTTGGCAAAAAGACGACGACAGCATTGTCATTTCTTGTGCGTTTTGTGTAGCATGCTTTTGTGCGCGCCCACACACGCACACGCACAGCGCTCTCAATATGCATATGTATGCGTGCATTTATTCATGATGCTGTCTTAGCCGTCTGCTGTCTGCTGGCTTTTCCCCTTACTTTCTTTTTTTTTTTTTATATTTGTTGTTGGCTGGCTCTTTAAGTAATCGAGGGAATTTCTAAGTTTTCAACTTTGTTCCGCCCTCCTAAATATTATATTCACCCTGTCAACTGTGACATAATTTATTAAACAGAATGCGAGCAAGTTTTGAAACATTTGCTACACTCGCACTTTGCACCTTGACTTGAGCCTTTGGCTTGTCAGTTGTTCAATTATGAAAGCAGCGGCAACAAATGGCTGACAGCCGCACAATATGCCACACAGCTGCAGTGCAACCGTATCCGTATCTGTAGCTGTATCTGCAAATGCATCTGCGGCAAGTGCACTTATTGATTTCCTGTTTGCATATATGCGACGGCATCGGATCCTGTGACAGCATTCAGCGTACATAAAATATTAAAGCAGTTCGCTTGGCCATAATTGAATGAAACCACAATAACATGCCACAAAAGAGTTCATTTCCTTGGGCTCGGAGCTTAATGTGCAGCCGCCCTGTGCTGTCAAAAGCAGGCGCTGACAGCATCTTTGATGCCTGCTCCGAGCTAGTGTATACATAATGAGCCCTAAGGCTCAGTGTGACTTTATTACTGTGAACGTGGCTATACGCTGCGTATGCGTAATGCGGTCAGTCATGCCAAATGAAGGCCATAAAGCAGCAAATGCAATTACTTTTCCTCCACACACACTCTCTCACAGACACACACACACACACACAATTGATTTTCTATCGCTGCTCACGCCAAGCAAAACAAATTGGCCGTAAAATAATTGCAAATACGCCAACTGAATAGTTTAATGTAGCAATATGCGTATCTATAAATAAATCTATATAAACATAGTGTGTATAGATTCTATATATATATATATATATGTACAGAAAACATAAATCACAGGCGGCCCAAGGCAATCAATTTGCCAGCTCTGAGCAAAGCATTCCGTTGCAAATTTAACTGAACCCGGCAAATAGCATGGAAAATGCAAATAAATGTGAAAATTCTTTAACTTATTTCTACATGCATTGTTTGCCAAATTTAGGTATACAATGCTCAACTTTCTAATCATTTTTAAATAGATTTTTCAATTCTTTTACGAGCTGAAAATGTGCGTTCATGTAAAGTCAAGTACATTATTTTCTATCTTTTTATATCATTTGCTTTTACTGTTCAAATATTTTCCTTCAGCTCTTAAACAGTGTCTAAAATGAAGCTTAAATATAAATATTTTCAGCTTTGTTAAACTTCCAGCTGCTATTTGAGTTTTTAAGTTTTCATAAGCTCTCTGGCTTTCAAGCAACTTGTCTGGAGTTTTGTTACTTTTCTTGTATCTCTCCACTTTTGCTTCTTACGCAGCTAGCTTCGTTTTTGGTGGGGTCGTGTGGGTGCAGAACGTACCTAATTATCCACGACCTTGTTTGGCATATGTTTGTGGCAAGTAAGTTGACAAATATCACGCCCCTAAGCATGTCATAAACTGTGTTTAAGCCAAGAACTTGGCCCTTTTCTTAGCCGGTTCAGTGGGTGAGCAAATGATGTTTGCTTAACAGCATTTGCATTAATGATGAGTTCCGGTTGCCTAGTCATAACCCAGGCCAACTCACCTGGGCAGCGAGTCTTTCAATGGGTCATGCCTCAAGTCCGGTAAATTCTGCCCCAAAACAGCGCAAGGCGTAATTTGTTTGTGCAGCTTGTAGCTCACGCTGAATTATTCATAGGCCAAGGGGTCAAGTCGTTGCGGGGAGTGAGTGGATTGGCTGGCCTAGTACAGTGAGGGCGGCATTTAATTGGATTTCGATTTTCTACTCATGACACGCATCGAAACAACAACAGACGAGCGAGCAACAGCAACAAAATGTTGCTGGCGATTAACTTAATTAATGTCACACTAATGACGGCTTAATGCGATTATGCTGACAACTGCAACAGCAGCGGGGCCAGCAGCAGCTGCTATACTCAATGAAATTCAGACAGAAATAAGCTGACAGAAGTCAGCAAATAAATTGAAAATGTAATCGAAAACTGCAAATCAAATATATACCCTCGTTAAATGCCCGGCCGGCTAATGACTGAGCGCTGAGCCGCATTCTGAATATCGTTCGGCAGCTTTTGTGGCTTTCGGGTTGAGCGTTTATAAGCCGCTAATTAGTTTGTATTGCGAGTCGTTATGAATTGCATCGATTTTCAGCTCATGTGGCAAACGTTGGGCAATCAAATCGTTAAGCACAACTCTATCAGCAGCGCCAGCAAGTTGATCAATCTAAGCCAACCACGACGCCCTCCGCACTCTGCTCGCAACAACAACAACAACAACAATTAGGGGCAAAACTGGCTGCCAGCTGGCGGCAGAGTGTCACGTGTCCTTCGTGATGTGGCCAATCGAGAATGCAAATCGCAGTCGCTCGCTTCTGCCTGCCTCTGGCTTGTCATCGGCAGTTGCACTAACAGCCTATAATCGCAACTTAACATGCTTGCCACAGTGGCAGCAACAGCAGCTGCCGAAGCAACAGTGCAAACATCCTTCAAGCCGGATATCGCACAGTCTCGGAAATACAACAAAAAATAACAGTAGCAAAATAACAACCTAGATGAAGAGTCTGCTTAGGGCTTGCGTAGCTTAAATACCCTGTATGCTGATAAAAGTATTCGATCGTTTTAAAGAATCAATTATCTGTAACCAGTCGAAAAATTATAGAATATAGTTTATGATTAGCAAGCAGATCGGAACCTACCTAGCTAAATTATTCTTCAATTTGATGGCTTAAATTATAGTTGAGTAGTCACAAAGGTTCAGTACAAGTGTAGCCTTCTTCGGGCTACATAACAGCCGACCTAAACATAATACCCTCTTTAAAGGGTATGATAAGAGCTCATCTGCACATCAGTAACTAGATGCCAGTCGTGCCTTGTCCTCCCCAGCTTGTGCGCTGCACCTCAGCATGCTGCCGAGCATGCCATGTTAAATGACTCACACAGCTACACACACCTATGCACATACACACACACACACACATGCACGGTCTCTGGGGCACATGAAGAGCCGCAGCGCGTGTGCGGCGTGTCGAGTGCGTTGCACTGAATTTTGTAGCTTTTGTTTTGCGGCTCAAGCCACTCAGCTTGTTTTATATGCGCTTATCTCTAGCTGCTGTACACACACACACACACACACACACACACACACACACACACACACACGCGTACACGTACACATTTGTGCACACATGTGTATGTGCGTCTGGGGACACAGCACATTTGCCATTTTGTTGGCTTTCTTGCAAGAGGTCCTTGTGCCTGAGCAACGTTTACAAACATGCAGTTGAGTGGGCGGCCAAGTGTCATTGTTGCTAGAACACATTTTTGAGCCTGCGCCTTTGCCTTTTGAATACCAATACCTGAGCAACCGTTGCCACAACACCGCCCGTTGCCTCCACTCGCAAGCTAAGCTTGAGCAGAAATTGTAGCATACTTTTTCGGGCGCTGCTCAAAATATGCAAACCGCAATTTGCATGAGACGCAAATGTAATTTGCATGGCATGCCAGTACACATATGTCTGCCTTCCGCTCTCAATCTCCGTATCTCGGCTTCTCTACCAGCATAAATGCTGACCACGTTGTTGCGAGTCCACTTTGTTGAGTTCTCGCGGCACTTGCCACATGAATGCTAACGGGCACAATTTCAACAGCAGCTAGCAAGCCACCTTTCACATTTCAATTCCAATTCTAATATCGCTGGCAACAACAATTGCAATAGGATGGCCGCTCCTTCAGTATTAGCAAAAGAAAAGAACTGAAGTCAACATAAGTGTCGGCTCGGCAAGTGCAAAAGGCGAATGCGAAAAAATATTTGCGCTGCCAGAAATTGACAACTGTTTGCTTAGTTGAGAGTGTTTGCTTGCTGCCAGGATGGGTAGGGGGGTGGCTTGGGCACGGTTTGGAGGACTCCCTGGCTGACTGGCTGGCTGGCTGCTGAAAGCGGAAATTTGACACTCTCATTCTCACTTTCACTTGCCAAGTAACTGGCTGTGAGAGCGCGTTTGGCTGTGCGGGTGTCAAGCTGGTTTGCTGCGGGCTGCGAACTGCGGGCTGCTAGCTCCCAGCTGCCTGCACTGAGTTGAGCGTCCCTGCGGGCGTAGCGCGTAATATCAGTTTACTTTTTAATGGCACTGCTGGCAGTCAATTATGTAGTCTTCTAAGCCAGCCATGGCTGCTAAAATATGCAATTAAAGCAGACAGACAAACTTTTTGGGATGCCATTGCAAACTATTTGATTACCAATTGATGTTTCCATCAGCCAAACAACTAGCAAAATGTCTTTTAAATATATGTGTCTAACTTGTCACTGCTCAAGGGCAACACGTTGACAACAAGGGGAAAATACTTTGAACAGAACATAAAATTTAGTCGTATCAGAAAGCGAAGCTAGAGGCTATTCTAATATAGTCACGATATATTTGGTATATTGACCCACGTTGGGAGACACACAGTTATTAAATATGAGATTCTAGTGAGCTTCACTTGCTCAATCGCTGGAAGTAGCACTGAAAATATAACACAAAGCTAGTCAACGCATAAGTTGTAACTTGCCCTACATTGGACACCTAACATAATTTATTTATTTATGGACACACCTAAATTCCTGAATCAACGCTGAATGCATTTGAAATATAACATGACGTTGGGCGACATATAATTTATTTATTCATAGAGCTAAGAGAAACTTGAATCCTTGAATCACTTGGCAGATAACTTTGAAAATAACAAAGAATTTACTGAAATTTAAAAGCTAAGCGAACGACACATCTTAGGCACCAACTATGATTTATTTATAAAGAGAACTAAGACAGAATTTAATTCTTGATTCGCTGGCGAAATTATTCGACATATAACATATATAATCATATCTAAAGCTGAACTGAAGAGTTCTCTAATTCGGTTACCATATACGTTTTACGTTGACCCATGTTGGGCGCCAAATATTCTTTTTTCTTCGAAATCTTAGTTTATCATGTTGAAATTGAAAATAACTGAACTTTTCAAGCGCACCGGCATACATGAAACGAAAACATTCTAGTTTACCAATAACTTTAGATACTTTCACGTAGGAGGCCCTATTAACTATAAACTTTCTGTGTTTGTGCGACTGCCCTGTGAGTTTTTCAACTTTAATCAATATTTTAAGCTCAAACTTTGGCCTGCCTTGCATCATAAATTTGGGAAACGTATTTGAAAACTATTTGTCAACTTTTTGCCACCGCTCAAAGGCAGTCTACAGTATCTTCTGCTAGCCAGTCAAGGTAGCCTATCCTTATTTTTTGGGCTAATTTATTCGGTGTATATATATATATATATATATATATATGTATATATAACCACGAAAGATACATATATGTATATATATTACTGCTATTCAACTACGAGCAGCGCACGGACAGCATTTGCCAAAATATGAGCTTTATACTATTTGACAAGAACTTATTTGTGCGCATACACACACAGTCAGCATGTTTTATATGCATTCATATATGGGCAGACGAACTGGTTATAAGCTTTCAGTTGAGGATGCGGCTTGACGGTAACAAGCTGCAGACACCGGCGAAAGCCTGGCCCATTACTAAGGATCCAAATGCCAGGCACAATATGTGCCACCCACTGGAACCCTGCAATTTGTGCTTCAGTCTTGCCGAGCAGCTCATGCACTTGCAACGGGCAAACGGCGCCCGCAACATGCTTAATTTTATATCAAATTTATAACTGACTTATTGGCACTTGGCACTAAGATTACGCCTGCCAGGCAGCCAACAGCCAACCGACTCTCGAGCTGCATTCTCTTCACATATATGTAGTTCGCCCACACAACCTATTACGTATTATTACGTATACGCAGCGTGGTTCCCTAGCTCTGTGTGTGTGTATGTGTGTTGCCCTGTCAAAGTTTTGCTTGCCGCGAGCACTTTATGACTTAGGTATGTGCTTCTTGTGTGGTGCGCCCTGATTGCTATATTGAGTGACTGAATTTTTAACACGCCCATCAAACTGAAAGGCTCGAGGTATGCAACAACAACAACAACAACAACCACAACAACAACGACGACAACAACAGCTAAAAATAACAATCGTAGAGTGCTCAAATTTATGCAATTTGATATATTGAAAGCTAAGCATTTGTGCTGACCACGAAAGATAACCATTTAGCAGCTGGCGGCTTTATATACACATAACATAACAATCTTTACGTTTTCTATACCCTACATATGGGATATGGAGAATCTATGTGCACTTTATAGATGTGCTGTGGTGTCGGAAATAGTTGTGCTTGCGGTTCTCAATTGCATTATTATTTAATTGATTAAACGTATCAAATGTTTAAATATATAAATATTAAAAGTTTTCGCATATAAATAATTCTAAAAATGGTGCCCTAAAATATCCTATAAGACATAGCTCGAAATTTACCATTTCAAAACTCAACCGATTTTCATAAGGTGTGGCTTTTTATTCTTGGATCTATAAACTCTAGATCAATTTGGCATCTACATCTGGTAAATGTAGCCTCAAAAATCCTATATAGGAAAATATCTTATAAATTGATTTTGATCAATTTCTTTTGTCCGATTTGCTTCAAACTTATTAAATTAATTTTGCGTCCGATCGTTCCCAAACTCATTTTCAAAGATTTTTGAGACAATTTAATTTATACGTACCACTCGCAAGGCCGGGTCGACACTCGTTCTGCTCATTAACAAAATATAAATAAAAAATAAATAAAATATATATCGATCACGTACGTCATAAACCCATCAGTTTTCAATCGAACTTTTTTTTAACTTGCTTTTATTTCCATTACCAATTTTGATTGATTGTTTTTTTTTTGTTTGCGCGATTGCCTTCGATTTGGGTTATACATTTTTTAAATAACTTCAATCGAATATTTATTTTTTAACTCTTTATTCTCTCTCTCTCTCTCTCTTTTTCTCATATACATTTACAATTGTTGAAACTATTTGTTTTCGATTTGGATTCTACAGCCTTAAATATATATATATATATTTCTTTTATTTATGCAAGG